GTTGGGACACACAAATATTTGGAGCGAGCGAGCGCGGCCTCGGCTCCTGCAGCACCCAGGGGCTCGCTAACAGGGCACCCGCCTCGGGCTCGTCTTCCCCAAATCTGTGGTCGGGAATTCCTCGCGTCACCCTAGGGGATGGTTTAGCTTCTGAAGTTTGTTTCGCTGCTCTTAAACGCCCTCCCTGTTTGCAGGTCACAAAAAGACGCGGAGGGGAGCAGAACCCCGGGATGCGCTCCCTCCGGCTCCGACCTCTATAGGGACGCTCTCGGGGACCGATGGAAGCGCAGCGCCTGCTGCCTGCCGGCCTCTCGGAAGCAGAGCTCGGGCAGGCGCTTACCTGCCTGCAAGGAACTGGTGTTTCACCATCCCCACGGCTGCCGAAGAGCATCTCCTCCGCCTCGCTGCGCCCAGCGTTGGCTTTCTGACCCCGACCAGAACCTCAGTCTTCTCCCCGCAAGTAAAGGCAGCGTGTAAAAATAGGTTCCCCAGGGATCCCCGGGTTGGAGACAGAGGAAGCTGCCAACTGCCTTCTGCTGGTGGGGAAGCTGAAAACGCGGAGCATGACGGAGTCACGGATAAAACGTGAGTACAGGAGCGCGGTGGGAGCGGGCGAGGGGTGTCGGGCACCGGCCCTGCTGTGGGAGCCTCCTTCCCTCTGGCCGCAGCCCCCCTTCGCCTCGGGCTGCTTGTTCTGCCCAGCTCCAGCACAGCCTCTCTGCGCCGCTTCCCGTGGGGAGGGAGCCGGGTGGGAAGCCTCTCTCGTTAATAAGGCTAAATTGCCTTGCCGGTGCCCAGGGGGGAGCTCAGGACGGAGCAAACGGCCAAGCTGCCGGACCTGGGCGCTGTAGCTCTGCAGCATCTGGAGAGACGCACGGGTGGGGGACGGGAGGAGGGAGCGGTTCTCCGTGCACAGTAATTCCCTGCCCTAGAAATTAATCTCAGGCCTTGTCTCTGCTGCAAATTGCGTAAGCTTAGATAGGCTCTAAGTGTTTAAACTGGTGTAAACCCATGTGCATTTCCTAAATTAATCCCAGCCAGCTTTGAAATGAATCTCCCTTCTTTTTTTTTTTTTTTTTTTAAGGCAGTAAAGAATTTTCTGGTTTAATTAAGCCGCGGGGAAGGGGCGGGCTGGGGTGGGAGCAGGAATTACCTTCAGCAGCAGCAGCACCAGGTCACGTTGGTTTTAACGTGACAGCGTAGCGAACGTCTCCACAACCCCTTGCATTGAAAAATGAAACCCCCCCCCAAAGCAGGGTGCCTTTTGGCTGTGGGCTGGGTGTGAGCCCTGGGGTGGGACAGTGCGGCTGCTCTGGCAGACGCGAGGACGGGCAGACACGAGGACAAGCAGCTCCTCCTGCCCTGGAAGCGCTGTCTGCAGCAGGAGGGGACGCTGTCACCCGCCTCGTGCCACCCTCGGTGGCGGCCACTGACGCTTTTGAGGCAGCGCAGCGTCCCCTCGGGGCTGGGCATCCTGGCAGGTCTTCGTGTCCCCGCGTGAAGTCACGTCCTTGGTCGAGGGGCCGTGGCGTCGCAGAAGCCATGGACAGTCGCTGCCCCCCCAGCACTCTACAGGCTCTTTGCAGAGCACTTGCAGGCGGCCTACTCTGGAACTAATTAACCTTGTTACGACAATGGCCTTGATGAGAAATGCATTGCTCCACAGTAACAATTAGGCTCTCGAAGCGGAGTCGTGGGCTGATGGGTGTGAGGGAGCAGCTCTGGCCCACAGCAGCGATGCAGGCGCCTGGCTCGTCGCTGGCAGGACCTCGGTGGGCTCCATCCCGCTGCCGGGTCGGCTGTTGGGGCAGTATTTGGGGCCCCGTGACCTCAGGCAGCGGGGGGTGTCGTGCCTGGGGACGGCGCATTGCTGTCGGTGCCCCAGGGCCAGGACAAGGGCCACCATCACCCGTGCTCACAGGGCTGTTCCCAAGAGGCAGCTGGTTAGCATGGCCAGAGGGATGGGAATACTGGGAGGACTTTGCCGGGTATTAGCTCCTAACTGACGGCATCCGATCGCCCTCGTAGAGCCTCATCTGGTGGTGGGATTCGGCAGCACGACCACCAGGGCCACTGGGCTCCTCCAGCCCCTGACATGCCCTTGGTAGGTCCCTGGTTGTGTCAGCCCCATGCAGGTTCCCCAGGCACCTCAGACGGCGCCGGTGCCCAGCTGCGCAGTGGATCCTGTCCGCTGGTGCTGTTGCCCAGCCCTGGTCTAAAATTTCCTGTGTAATAAATCCCTCCTTCTCCCCGATCCAGCGAGAAACCTTAGAGCCAAGTTCACCTTGGCCCAGAGGCTGACATGGTGCTGCTGAGCAGTATCTGTAGGGTCTGCAGTGAAAATACCTGGGAAGTGTCCGGGCCAGCTTGGCGGTGAGGGTGAATGAGCCCTTGGGGATGGGGAAGGGCCACATGCAGGGTGTCGTCGTGTTACAGCTAGGTTATCTGGGATGCTGCGCTGAGAAGGAACGGCTTTGGTAGGCGCTTGTGGGGCGGGAAATGAAAGGGCTGGTGAAGCTTGCCTGGGCTGTGTGCCTGGCTCACAGAAGGGCGGGTGAAAATGCCCAGGGGCTCTTCTGTTGCTGCTCTTGTGAGTCCAGGAGATGTTCAGAGAACGCAAAACCTTTGCAACTTGCCTGTCTGGCTTAGGGCTTGCTACGACGTTGATGGATGCCACGACAGATAAGGACCCGCTCGTCCAGGAGCAGATCTACAATGCTTTGTGCTACCTGGGGGAGTCTGAGCCAGAGGAGATCCTCAACTCCTGTGACGAGTACCTTCGGCTGCACGACAAGGTAGGGCTCTGCTCTGCTCTGCTCTGCCCTGGGAATGTCAGCAGGATGAGGAACGTTTCCTGGCAGCTTGGGGATATTGGCAAGCCCCAGTGGGTGAGGGAGATCCCGGGGACGATCTGGTCTAAAAGAGTGGGGCACGGAGGTTTTGCTCACCCCGGGGCAGCCACCCTGCCCGTGCTCGGCTTGGCTGACCGGCCGCTTTCTCCTTCCCTTTTCAGCTGGCCTACCCTCACCGGGTGATCATCCTGAAGGCCATGGAAACTGTGGTGAAGAACAACATTACCCTCTTGGACAAAAGCACGGCCAAGGTCGTTATCTTCCTGGCATCTAATGAAATGACCAAGTCAAAGGTATGACCTGAAAGCCCCGGCTCCTCCTGTCGGTGGTCCCCTGACGCCGTTGTTGCAGTCAACGCTGTGGGTCGGGGGCTGCCCCAGCAGTAGCAGTTACTGGGAGCGCTTCTGGGAAGGGAAGGGCAGATTGCACACCGTCTTCTGGACTCGGGATGGTGGGGAGGGGTGGGTGGGGGATGAGCTGCATTCCTCTCTTTGGGGAGAGATGAGGACGGTTTGGCTGACCGTTTCCCTCCACCACGGCATGCACACACAGCTAAATAAAATTGGGCTGCTGAGAAGGACCTGGCCAGGCGAGCGGGTGTTAGAGAGGAAGGAGCGCGGTGCCTTGAGGGGCTGCTCGTCCACGTGGGGAAAAGATGGTGCCTGAATCTGGAGCCTGTCATCTAGCCCGCCCCGCGCGATTCCCC